CCCAGCTCACAGTCTTCTTAACACGAAGTCCAGCATGCTAGTCATTAGGCCACACTTGCCTATCCCTCATGAGGAAGTCACCAACCACCATTACTTACCTCTTCCTCCTCAGACCAACAACAATTTTGCTAAATTCCTTTGCTTCTGTGAGTAGCTTTTCTTTGCTCCGTGGACTAAAGATTACTGATTCCTTTCAGAGGGTACAGGTCTACCTCAGCCCTGTTATGTAGCCTCACCTATTTAGAGCTTGTTTTCCTTTTCCTTCCTTTACTTACCAACCATTTGACCCTGATCATGAACCTTCACTCCCCCATTTTTCTCAGAATCTTTTTCTTCTATCTTGTCAAAATTCCTTCATCATCACAGACAAACAGGAATATAACAAGATGTTCTTTAAATATTTTCATCTTCTAAAGAAAAAGAACATAGTTGGTGAATGCCTCTGACAAGAAAATTCTGAGATTCTGGGATTCTGAGAACAAACCCAATAAAAAAAAAAAGAGAGAGAGAACAACTTCGTTAGTTTCTAAAGCTCAAGTCCTTAGTGGTCCACTCTTAGAAACATCCCATGGAAACTGCAGGGACAAACTGACACCTAAAATTATTTAAATTTGTTTGGTTAGTAAAAACGAATTCTTTCCTGAAGCAAAGATGTAAAATGCCAACTGCTTAATAGAATTAAAGGCCAAGATTGTTTCCTGTTTGTTTTTGTATCTCCTAGCATCCAGTATAGTGCCTGAAACGTAGTAGGAGGTTAATAAATGTTTGTGGATTGATGAGGTCACTTGGGACAAAAGTATCATAAAAATGTTACATTTAAGACATTTTTTGGCATGAATTATTATATTGAGTTCATAGGATTACATGTGTAGAAGGGTAAAAACTTTAGAGATCATCAAATGTAACCCTTTTGTTTAACAGATGAGGAAACTGAGGTAGTTAAATGACTGGCCCAAAGTCACAGGACTAATAAGTAACTGAGGCAGGATTTGAATACAGGTCTTCCAGGTTCCAAATCCAGCCTTCTATCCACTACATCACCATGAATAAATGTAATGTCTCCTACAGAGCAAGAAAAGTAGGCTGGGTGAAACAATTTAATATTTTTTATTTTTAAAATTTCTGTTCTTGTCATATGGAGTATGTACTTTAAAAAGTCATGGATCTGAATGCTTTAATCCCAGTGGCAGGGGTAATTTAAGCAAAGACCCCAATTTGTACTGATTAGCCTAAAGCTAAGAAAGGCATTGTATTAAGATGACAGTAATTTTCACAATTATTATTCCTCTGTGTAGCTATAATATGGTTTGTCCAGGACTATAAATTGAGGCTTTAATTACAAGAATAAACAATTTTACCGTGAAATGATGTTTGAATACATTTCCCTTTACTATTCTTACAGAATACATAAAAATCTGTTCATATGTTTGTAGCTTGAAATAGATGTGATATGTGTCCTATTGTGCTTTTCCCATTCACTAAACAAGGCTCAAAGTGTAGCTTTTTTCAGTATGACTTTGTATGATCCTGAGAATGAGCAAAAAACAGGGAAGCCTGTGTACTGTATACAGCATATATTTGATGGGTTTTATCTTCAGGGATTCTCAATACTTTGCTCCTATTTACTAGGGGATTGAAATAAAAGATTAATAGTTTCTTGCAAGGCCATGAAAGCATTGTGATCTCTGCCAATCAATCTACCCTCAAGTATAGAGGAAGTAAATCACATTGCCTACTGGCTCAAGAAGGATGGAGGCAAGGGACAGATGCCAAGTATTTGGAACTCAATTTTTTTAAATGAATGTTAAAAATTGTTTTCACAGGTAATGGGGCAGGGGTATATTTTTTTTAATAACATAGAGGAAGAAAGTCACCAGCAAGGCTGGATGTCAGAACCATGAGTGTGGGGTAACTGTTGAGCTCAGCTCCATAGTTCTGAACTCCGCCAAGGACTGATCCTGATCTATTTGCTAACTAGATTCCTTAAGGCCATTATATCAAAAGCAGTGCGTATCCCTATTCAAGAAGTCCATAGAATGTTTGAAGTTAAATGCATTAAAAATCAACTAGAAAAATGTGATCTCCCTTCATTATGGGCTTCCTTTCTTAAGGGTCAAAGGAAATTTCACCTTTGGATCAAGAACACATGAATTTTTAATCCTCAGAAATCATGTGAAAGTTTCCAAAGAAAGTATCCCTTCACTATATATAATCTCTTTCACATATCAGCCCTTTAGTTTCTAGCCCAATCTAGGCTTAAATGAGAGGGAGAAAGTGAAGTAGTTTCCCTTTCTGGGCTCCCTATTAAACTAAGTCTCTTAAACTTTCTTCTCTTCTTGGTGCTCTGTCACTACTTAGCTTTCAGGAAGCAAAAGTCAGCTGTTCATTCAAGCATAACCAACTTTTACAGTTATTTCTTGCTGTCACAATTCCCTGGAAACATTACATGTTCAGAAGCATTCTTCAGAACAGAACTGTGTGATACTAGGAGCTACACAGCCTGACTTTAAATTTACCCAGGGGATTAAGCTCTCTCATTTGAGCTTCGGAGATGCTTTTCAGCAAACACTGTCTTCCTATTTATAAATGTGTCGTTTGTAGATTTTAAAGCTGCTTAGATCATAAGTAGGTTGATTATGCTTGAAATAGAGAATTGTGTGTCCTGCTTTTAAAAAGAGAGAGAAAAGGAAAGAGAAAGAAAGGGAGTTCTTCTGTTAGTCTTCATCTGAGCTGATGCCTGCAAGGACACACAGTTGCCGCAGAAATCAGCTTTCTGTGTTTGCAACTGTCACAAGTTCAATTTCAGCTACACTGTCAACTTGAAATAGGTGGAGCAGGTCAAAATCGTGGGAGGAATAAGCCTGCACTAGAAACATCTTTGGTTCAGAGGGACTGCTGTCACGTGACAGGGAGGGAAGCCAAGCATACAGGAGGACAAAATCCCTTCTGAAAAATACATGCTATTCTAAGGAACAAAGAAAAAACTCATCCTTTCCTCAGCAGGCCCACTTTTCACCAGCACACCACAATTCCTGTCTGTTTTCCTCAAGGTTTTCAAAACATTACAAGCTAAGGTTAGAGTGATGGTTTTTTGGAGCAAGAGTTAAAGCTGAACAGTTAAACCTTAATGTGCAATACTAGTCCTTCACTCGGCTACATCTCATTTCATCGCCACCTCTATGTAACATCATAGTCACAATATGCTGTAAGGAATAAAGAACTGGACTGAAATCCAGGAAGACGTGAGCTCAAGTCCCATCTTGGGCACATTCTGGCTCTCTGATCCTAGGAAAGTCACTTAACCTTTCTATGCAGCTTTCTAAGACTACAAATTGCAGAGGAGGGGGCAACCTGCATTAGCAGAAGTGAGTTTCCTCTCCTGGGGATTCTTCAAGCCAATGAAATCACAGGTCCATTAAATTGCCTTTCCCATTTCCCAACTTGTCCACCCCAATGTAACTTCCTCTGCCCTCTTAGGCCAACTACTTTTTTTTAAAAAAATGTTTCATAGCATTTTGTTTTTTAAATAATATTTTATTTTTCCCCAATTACGCATATGACAATTTTTAGCATTCTTTTTTTGGGGGGTTCCAAATTTTCTCCTTCTATTTATCACCTTTTCCTTCCCTGAGACAGTAAGCAATCTGATATAGGTTATACGTGTGTAAGCATGCAAAACATTTGCATATTAGTCATGTTGTAAAAGAAGAAAAAGAAGGGGGAAAACACAACAATAAAGAAAGTAAAAAATAGTATGCTTCCATTTGAATTCAGATTTCGTCAGTTCTTTTTCTAGAAGTGGATAGCATTTTTCATCATGAGTCTTTTGAAATAGTCTTGGGTCATTGTATTGCTTAGAATAACTAAGGTTTTCACAGTTGGTCATCATACAATATTGCTATTACTGTGTACAATGTTCTCCTGGTTCTGCTCACTTCACTTTATATCAGTTAGTGCAAGTCTCAGGTTTTTCTGAAATCATCCTGCTTGTCATTTCTTCTGGCACAATAGTATTCCATTACAATCATATACCACAATGGCTTGTTCAGTCATTTCCCAATTGATGGGCATCCCCTCAATTTCCAATTCTTTGCCACAACAAAAAGATTTGCTATAAATATTTTTGTACAAATAGGTTCTTCTCCCCCTTTTTTAAAATATCTTTAGGATACAGGTTTAGTAGTGGTATTGCTGAATCAAAAGGTATGCACAATTTTATAACCCTTTGGGCAAAGCTCCAAATTGTTCTCCAGAATGGTTGGATCACCAATTGCATTTTGAACACTATCAATGGATAGCTAGACTGGAGTCATTTCTTTTGCACACAGTAGGAGCACAGTCCTGAAATGGGTGCAGCTCAGTTCCTCTGTTTGGCAGTTGGGGAAACATGTCTCCCTTAAAATCAGGGCTATATATGTCCAGGAATGAGACAGGAGTGGAGGAGGGAAGGAATCTCCATGCCTAAAAGGACTCTTTATTCAGACCTTCCCAGTTGCAAAGAGGAAAAGTGAGCAATGCATACATACTGCAAATAAGTTTATATATTAAGAAATGAGCTATCTAAAAGGTGATTAAAATCTCTGCATCTCCAAATTACAAATTTGACTCCTCAGCAGATAACTAAAACACTAACATAGACTCCTACTTCAGGAAATGACATTTTTTCTGTCAGTCTGTTTTCACCAGGAAAAAAAGGCAACAACATTTGCAAATTCACCATCTGTGTGCTATGTTCCCTTGACCCCATCTATGACATGACCATAATCATAAGAAGCTGACGTGCTTTGAAAATTTCCTAAGATCATTTTTTTTTTTTTGCTTTTTCACCATATTTCTGCAATGTGGATAAAAGCTGGGCCAGATCATTACCGTTCCTGTAGCCATAATAAACTGAGCTTCGTTGGGTCAGATGCTAGCCTCACAATCAATGTATTACTGTTGCTGTCCTTGGCTTGTTGGCTTCCCAGCTAACATTTTTGTCTTTTGATTTTTACCTGCAGCTCAAAACACTGGAATTTCAACTTTATATAGAAATTCTTATGGTGCACCTGCTGAAGATATCAAACATAACCAGGTATGGTACACACCATTTTCAGATTATTCTTCTAGTTAGAATCATGTGAAATGCCCAAAACATAAACAAATGAACTCCATAACGTGTAAAAAAAACCTGGAGGAGAGGCAAGGGAAGGGGAGAGGGAACATTTTGTGACTACTCCCAGACACATCATGGCCTTTGGATGAAGGGACTTGGTGTACGGCAGTCTTTAGGGAGCAGTTGACTGCCCCCGTCACTGAAAATCTTCCTGCAAAGGCTGAATAATCACTCAGGTGTACTGTAGAGGATGTTCTTTCTCCAGACTGTACTCAATTTTACTAAGGCCCTCCCAGTTCTGTGTTTCTGTGATGTTATCGGTACAAATTAACTAGTTTAAAATAAACCTGGACTTTATCCAGACTCCAGTAGAGAAACTTCTCTACCTGTTCATCCAAGAGAAAAAGTTAACATAAGAGCAAAGAGCTGCAGCCTTAGCCTCATGCTTACAAAGACTGTCACCTACCTGAACATCAGATAGTCACTGGATGGTGACAGTGCTAGGTAGCCATGGTTAGAGACCTTAACAATTCCAATAAGTTATGTCCAGTTGCCACAAATATCACAAAGGCATAAACAAACGAAAAGGTGCTAATGAAAGAGAACACACTATACAGTTGATACTCTTAAAAACCAGTCTGACTTTACTAATTTACTATGCCTATAACCTGCAGTTTAGGAAATTATGCTGTCTGACAATGTTCTTATACAATGGAATGCACAGAATGTACTCAATCAGGTAGTCTGCAAAAATGTGGCATCATTCCAAGTGAATTCAAATTCAATATGAGATTTACTTGAAAACCGATAATAATGATTCTTGGTTTTTTGGAAACAATTAGCTACTTTAAGCATTTCCCCACTTTCAGTGATAATTACCGAATGACTGACATTTTTGTAGTCATCCTCAATAATGGCTTTTTCTGATTGATCCCTTCAATTCCTGCATACATCAATGAAGTTGTACTGAAAAGATAAAAATGAAAACTGTTTGATCAATTGCCATTATCATCCAAAAGCATAAAAGACCAAGGAATTTTGTGGTCTTTTTGAAAACAGTATCCTTTTTAGAAGAATATTTTCTGGGTGCCCAGCAGGGAAATTCCCTTTGAAAATGAAAGGAAAAATTCTTCAGACATAAGAAGATAGCCATGTCTTGTGCAAAGACTCCATTTGCAGCACTATTTGATAGAAGGGTCAAGAGAAGAGATGTATTCTATTCTCCTCAACAGCTAATATTGCCCAGGATTGCCACCAACAGTCAACTAAACAGGAGGGGATATTTAAAGACAAAAAGGACCCCAGAAGCTTCCTAGTCCAACCTTCTCATTTTGCAAATGAGGAAACCGAGGCTCAGAAAGGTTAAGTGATTTGCCCTTGCCCACACAATATATATGACACTGACCTGTGGTGTCAAACTCGAATATAAACGGATCCCTATGGGCTGCCTTTTGCCTCAGCCATACGTGCACATTACCTGTGTGGTATTTTTTATTTATTTTGTTAAACATTTCCCAATTTCATTTTAATCTATTTAGTCCACTCAGGAGTTTTGTGGCTGAGAGTTTGATGACTCTACCATATTAATGATATAGGAGGGAACATGTGTCCTCTTTACAACCACATATTTACACTAATGTAAAGACCACCCTCATGTGACACTCCTACCCCTACTCCCCAATAACTGCAACTGATCACATTACTGATTTAGAATAATCATTGAACCCAACTTCTGCGGGCTGCCCACAATTTAAAATCAAAAGGAGGACAATAAGGCAGTGGGCCCATCAAGACTACACTAGACATCACTGCAGCCAACAACTACTGCATATTCCAATATGACTCCAAAATTGCATCATCTTCAAAAGCCAAGTAAAACTTACCTTTAAATATAACGTGGATTTTGATGTTTCCTTTCCAAGCACAGGTACTGAAACTTTGCAGATAAGGGCCTATCAAGGAAACAGAGTAATGATCACACGTTTGAATGTGCTAAGATTAGCCATTAGGTGGCCAGAGCAGAGATAATCTCATCACCAGAAATTGCTTACATTGCACATTGAGCTGCTGCTGGAGCCCCAGTATTAGTGTTAACCCTCTGGTGGATCTCAGGTGATCCAATAAATCTACAGGTGTGGTACAGGACTACACTTTTGTCTTTGCATCCCCAGCATCTTACACCTTTCAGGGTAACTCTGTCTCTTCATTTTTGCCTTGTTTTTCACCTGTGTAAAAATGTGTGTATGTTCATGTGTCCAATGGGGATACAGTGCACATTGCTTAGGGCCCAATTTCTCCCTAGGCATGGTTTTTTTGGCTTTGAGCTTTAAAAAAATAAAAGACATTTTTTTTTTTTTTACTGAATCAGAATGAAAAACCCTTTAACTATTCCAAAGGGTTGAATATGTTGACTACATTTTCTATTCTTATCGTGTGCTTATCTGTGTATTTATTCAAAGGCTTTAATGATGATGGTAAAGTCACTTTGACAAATGTGCTGGAATAGGCCTCCCTGTCCTAGAATATAACTGCTTTTCCATGCATATAGTGAACAGAAAAGTATTGACTCAGTCCCTTCACACTGGTAGGAAGTTGGATTAGATGATCCATTAGGCTTTTTACATCTTTGCTGTGTTTGCAAAGTTCTGGGAATCATGCAGCATTGAGTATTTCCCTAAAATGGGTAAGAGATGTAAATAAGGGTCTTGTATTTTATAGCCTCTAATCTTCTTCTCTCTGAGAGATAATTATTGTCAGCACTAGCACGTGAAAGCAAGAAGCTATTGAAAAAGTCGAGGGAGGCCTGAAGGAATAGGAAGGAGGTTGTATTGCTGAGTCCTTGGGTATTATAGACAGCCTAGGTCTCCTTTCCAGTAAGTAAACAGCAGTGACACGAAACGTTCACCAAAAGAGGTCGAGTGTCAGAGAAAACAGATTAACAAGACTGGGTTGGTCTTTCCTCTGTAGGTTTCAGCACAGCCAGTCCCACAGGAGCCCAGTAGAAAAGATTATGAGGCCTACCAGCCGTTTCAAAATTCCACAAGAAACTACGACGAGTCCTTCTTTGAGGATCAAGTCCATCACCGTCCACCTGCCAGCGAATACAACATGCACCTGGGATTGAAGTCCACCGGCAACTATGTCGACTTCTATTCAGCGGCTCGTCCCTACAGTGAACTGAACTATGAAACAAGCCACTACCCAGCCTCACCAGATTCCTGGGTTTGAGACCCAGCGAGAAGGAACAGCTCCAGGAACTGTGCATGTGCATGCATACACCACAAGACATTTTTTTTTCCCGCAAATTTAGTTTGTTAAAGCCTGTTCCATAGGAAGGCCCTGATAACCAGTATGGAAACCTTGATTAAGAGATATTTTAGAAGGCTAAATGAATTGAAAGTTAACTTGGAAGTCAATAGAATGAAAGAAAAAATCCTAAATATTACAGTGTGGGACAACTTTCAATGTTGGCCCTATAGAGTCTTAAAAAACAAACAACGTGCTGATTATTGAATGTGATGAAAAGAAGGAGGGAGGAAACAGCAGTGCATGGTGGGACAAGAAGGTTATGTTAAGCACAAGAAACAGAATAGTTTACATACTTTATGGGGGACAGCTTCTCACACTTTGTTTACTATCCTCATTCATTGTGAATCTAGGCTTCAAGTTGCATTTGGGGTTCCTCTGTACAGCAAGATGTTTCTTGCCTTTTGTTAATGCATTGTTGTAAAGTATTTGATGTACATTACAGATAAAAAAAAAACCAAGTGCATTGTGTATATTACACCAATGCCACAGTGTTTCTTCATCTATGGTTCTAAATATTACTTAAATTTCAAAATTTTGAAGGATGTATGAATTTCCAGTTTTTTCTTTTCCTCAGTATGTTTTAACAAAGACAAAAAAAGGAATATTTAGCAGTATTGTTCGTTCTGATATGTGAATTTGTTTGTGGCAACTAACCAAGGCGTTCAGCAGTTTCTGACAATTAACATATATCATTCCACACTCCTTGTCAACGAAGTGCTTTTTCACTGCCTAAAATTTTAGATGTAGATATTTGAAATAGATTTTTTTCATTTATACCAGTTTTCTTTATGATGATACAGTGTTAAAAGAAAATAAATTACAATTTATCTGTCATCCATATTTGCTAAGAATGTCTATTTCCAAGAATTTGTCATGCAAAATGCACATTCTTGCTTGTGTGTGTGTGTGTGCGTGTGTGTGCCCACGTATGTATATTAATCTGTGTGTGGTTTTTTGATAGAAGTAATTTCATTTGCTGTTCTCCTTGTATAAGCTTTGTTATTTTCTTTTCCCCAGGATAAATTGACTTCAGTCTGTTCTTTCCGTAATGTATCCACTGTACTGACCATTTAATAACATGGGATCTTAATCCTGATGACATGGAACTGTGGGATTTTCACCCATCTCCATTCTTGGGTACCGATCCTTTAATACCCTCACTTCTTTCCACATTTTATGCCACAGTCTCTACTTGCCCCCTAAAAAGAAGAAAACCCTTATAGAGCCAAATCTGTAATTCCACTTTCTGGCCAGCTGCTTACATCTCCAGGGGAACTGGAAACTCTTCCATTTACACTGCTGAAGGGGCTTAATTCATGATCTCCCACTGTCCTCTACCACCAGAATCTAGTCTTTAATCTCACATGAAGCTAATATCTAGATAGGAATTAACAACAATGAGAAACAATCATTTTTAGAAATTAAGTGTACCTAATTTTTCCTAACATTCCTTTAAATATTGCCACCCCTCTCTACATAGTTTAATTCAGCCAAAAGTCAGCAAACAATAGTTTCTTTTTCCAAATTTGACTACAACCAGAAGATAATTTTACTCACCTACCCAGACTTTGGAAATAAAAAAGCTAATTTCTAGAGAACAGCATAGATATAGCTTAAAGATACTTAAATGTTCTCCTGTCTTCTCTCAATTAGGTCAAATGTGAATTAGTACCTTAAAAAATCACTTTTAAACTTTAACTGTATTGCAAAATTTGTGGTAGGAAAAATGTATTTATGGGATCCTTCACTGTAATATTACCATTTCATCCCCTTATTGTGCCTCTACCAGGCACTTCTCCCCTACCTCCCAACATAGAGATATAGCTATATATATCCTAGGGGTCAGAACGAATTTTACACTTCACCAGTGTCATAGGACCAAAATAACACAGGTCATAGAGGCAGATATCGTGGTATAAACATGAGTTATCAGTTACCTAGTATTCTAGATTAATATTTCCAAAAAATAGACAGTAAAAAAAAACATTAACAGGTCTCAGTAGTGAAGGGGAAAATAAATGCATGCAGTAAAAAGATGGTACGGACAGCTGTATATGTAGGGAAGCAAAAAGCACTACACCTAACAAGATCTTTATATTTTCTTTATGATACTGATTGTAAGTATATAGCTTGCATTCACAACAACACTTTGGGACCAGGCACACTTTTCCTCTTCCAGTGACCTTCAAGGAGTATGGGCTACAGTTAACCACTGCTGTTGTGTCTCCCCTGGAGTAGCACCAGACCTAGTGAATGCACAAAAAGCGTTTATAGTTCGTAGAGCCAACCCTTCTGCTCAAAGGTACATCTTAGGGAAAAAACTGATTATTATTTTCTTCTTTTTTATTAAAATTAAAAAAAAAAATAAGGTTGGGTTTTACTTGAACTGTTAAAATGGCCTCAGGGCCCATAAAGGTTCCCTTAACAGTGAAGCCAGGTCAGCTGGTGACCTGTTCATTACCTGAGATATATTGGATTAAATGCACCAAGTGACATGAAACCTTTGGTTCTGTTTTTTGTTTTCATTCTTCTGAAGTGACTGAGTGTGATCTCTGAGAGTAACAATTCTCCCCTTGAGTACTGAAGAGCCTCTTAGATCTTGTGTTTTCCAATGATGCCATATAAACAGAAAAAAAGAAAAGCAAATATCATGTCTTGCTCCCTTTTGTGCCAGCATTAGACCACAAATGGTCCTACTGCATTTGATGTCATATTTGGTGTGGAGAATAGGATCTTGATAAACCATATAAATCCATGATGCACTTATCCTTGCCTCATTAAAAGAGTGTGACTCACCTAAGAGTTGGTTAACCAATGTTACCAGTTTATCTGTACGTGGCCAATGATTCCCAAACTAAACAAACTTAACAGATGTGTCTTTCACAGAAAATTCAACCTTTTCCCCAATGTACTCCTTCCAATTTCTCCCCTTCAACACAATCACTCAGATCAATCCAGATACTCTGAGCCCTTCTTTGGTCTTCACTAGCAAACCTATGTGTGGGCTTAGAGGTTTGAGAGGCTGAATTTACTGAGGTGTTTTGTTTCACACTTCATTTTTTTTTCTTCCAATACCAGTTTCTTTGTCGTGAAGTAAGGCACAGCTCAGAGATGCTGTCTTTACTACTGTATTCATTTCCCAGGTCAATATCTGAGGTGAAAAGGAAGGGAAACAGTTTCTGGATCAAATAAAATTGTCAATGGCCAAAGAACTTAAGTGCTTATTCACAAAGGTAATACACAACAGAATAACAGTAAGAAAACATCTTTGGAAAGACAGAGGGCACACTCACATGCATAGAAAGTGACTGTTCAGAATATCACCGTTCAGTACTGATTCTCAGTCTTTTTGAGAACATATTCTAATGCTGCGACTCTGACAATAAACAAATCAAACAACAAAATGTCAACAGTACGAATCAAGTTGACATAAGATGCTAAATCATACTTGGTGGTAGGTGGTCTTTTCAAAGACCAACTCAGATTGACATCTTCAATCTATAAAAGCTACTGTGTTTTAGAAAGTTTCTACTTCAAAAAAAAAAATGCAGTACATTTAAGCTCAGTAGCTCCACCAAAAAAAAAAATTTCAATTTTAGTCTATTTTATCACTTGCCCCTACTTCAGCTTTTCTTCACCGTCTGATATTATCTCATTCATTCCCATGAACTTAGCCGCTTAGAGAGTTCAGATTTGGTCCTCACAAGTCATTTGATATTTGCACATACACACACATACAGGAAGAGAAAATGAAAGCAATGCCTCCCTGAATAAATGTTCCCTATTTACAAACAGTTATCTTCAGGCTAGCAGTGTCTCTCTCTTACCATCCAAATAAGATAAATCTGAAAGATTCAGCTAACTCATTTTACAGAGGGGAGCAGGGGGATGGACATAGTCATTCCATCAATTACAATGCAAGCATGCCAGTCTGACCTCGACCTCTAGAAAGACAGCAGGAAGAATCAGAAGCAAATCTTCTTTTCACCATTTGGGAATCACAGGACACTCAACAGACAGGTGCCATATTCTGGATATCCCAGATAATGACCAATAATTTTAATAGAACTACAGTTCACAGTTTTTATATTAGACACCTTGGAATTAGCCTGAAATTGAAGCAAAATCTCGGCAAATATAAAATCACATTCTGCAAATGATTAAGTCCAAGCCTGCTTCTCCCAGGCTAGCAGTTGGAAAGGCCATTTTTTTTCTGCTCTTTACAATGTTGGAGCCACTCTTATTGTCCTAGGGGAAAATAGACCTAATCACTAAACTGGATGGCAAAAAGGTGGCTGGTTAAAGTCTTTTTTCTCACTGTGGCATTGTGCAAAGTCCATCCAGATGGCCCAGAAACCTTGTTTCATTCAGAGTTCTACAATGGTACATCTACTCCACCATACCTTTTTTTTGCCTGAACATGGCAATACTCAACAGTAATTTTTTAAAATTAAAACATACTTTAACCAATTCACATTATCAGACCCTACTAACACCCTTAGTTCTTATTATATTTTGAAAACTAAAAACTTCAGAGCTATCAGGTTTGAGCAATGTGATAAATATGTTGAGAATAAGGGAACGTCTCACACTTAAGGGACTGAATTTTTCACATCAACCTAATGACCTTAAAATTTTATTATTCTATAAAGTCATAAAATCTTGGAGTGGAAGAATTTTAGAAATAACCTAGTCAAACCCCTTCATTTTATAAATGAAGTGAAGGAAGTTAAGTGACTTGTCTAAGGTCATACAAGGAGTAGGACATTTCAGAACAGAATAGGAACTCTAAACTCTTGGATTGGGTAATCTGCTCTGCTCTCTGTGGACAACAGGACTTGAAATTGAAGTTCGTCCATCCAATTTCTTTATAGGAAGGATTAGATAGACAAAGAGGAGCACCATCCTGGCTAGTCTTT